GATGGCCGCGAGGAGCATACACCATCGTACTGAGCCAAGGAGCACGGCACGCGCAGTGATAGGCTTCCTCCAAACAATCTCAATCTCGTTGCCGAAGGTGATCAGTAACTCGTAAGTGACGAGGCCTGAGGGGCAGATGCCGTGTGAGCGATGAAATGGAAGGCAAATGATGTACCTGCACGTGGAAGCTACCTCGATATAGTTACCCGTGACTCTAGGAGACGAAGTTGTGAGTATTAGGCTGCTAACAGTTGCAAGCAGGAGTACCACTTACATTCGTGAGTAGGCTTGAACAAGTGCTTGGTCTGACAGTGCAGACATACTAGTCAGCGTAGGAAAGCCGGGGCGCGAGTGATGTTCAAGGTGAGCTACCACTTGTACACTCTTTATAGGTGACTTGGCCGATGTTCTATAAACAGCCATTATTGTAACCTTTTCGAAATGTCTTTCCAGATGTGCACCATTTCACGGCTGAGCGGTGCTTCGCCGCGCGGCGTTGAAGATTGCTGACTACTTCTGGAAGCGTTGACACTGGAGGCGCTGGACCCATTGTGAGTAAAACCGGTATAGAAGCGGGAAACCAACACCCTGAGCTTTGAGGCGATGAAAGGCTGCCAATAAGCTTGAGAATAATAGGAAACATGCTTTCCGCGCTGCTATCTACTCCATCTATTAATGCCATATTAATAAGTGCTACGCCCCTCGTGCCCGATGAGTGTCCACCGCTTGGGAAATATCAGAGCCAACAAGTACGCCCCGTTTTCGCCCCGTTTTGAAGTTCCCGATGCGTGGATCATCGACAGCTTAGCCCAAAAACAATCGTGGTCGGCAGCAGGAGTCGAGATCTGAGATTGACACTGCCACGTGACTATTTGATCTCAACAAGGATATATGCGTCCGCCCCGCAGAGTTCGCCTTCTCAGCTCTCTTGGTTGCTATAACCTCTCGAATACTCCAACCGCTTGATATATTTGCTTCGCATCTGCTGTGTAATAACCTTTGACAGACACTGATGCTCGTCGGCTGCGCCCCTTACCAACGGCATCATCGAATACACTCGAGAGTCGGGACCCATGCTGAGCCGGAAAGAGGGTGCGTACCGCCCTATTTCTCTATTATCGCACCGCTTTATGACAGCTAATTTTTACAGACTTGCTGCCTCAGCACTGCACAATCCATTGCCGCGCCGCGCCTCACTCCTCTTCGCGTACTTCGCTGCCAGGAAGGCCAGCATGAGGACGAACGGCGCCCAACAGTACCACACGCTACATCCTGGCAATGCAGCGTCGACCCGGAACAGCACATGTGCAAGACGCCTGGCTGGGTGAAGGGAGCTGAAATTAGGGAGCTGCGAAGCCAGGCGGAGCGGTTTGGGAGGAACTCGCCGGTGCTCAGGAACGATGGGAAGGTCGGGCTGGAGACAGGCTATTTAGCAATGGTACGTGGCATATTTTCGCGTATTTGTAGCTGCCATCCTTACGGTACCCAAGATTCCGTCACGGCCGACGGCGGAAGGCCCTTCGTGAAGCGTTGAAGTTCCATCTCTGCCATCCTACGCATACGACTCGGAAAACTTTCAAGCGTCCTCTCGTCACTCCCGCTTGCGCAGACAGAATATGCTCACGGCAGCCCCGGACTTTCTGCGCAGCATCACCATCATGGCCTGTCCCAAAATCACCGCCACCTGCTCGCTCTGTCTGACCTCAAGGCTGCGAACGTCTCATTTACTCTGTATCCCGCGGCTTAACACTCGCGTGCAAGGCCATACATTCACCTGGTATCGCCTGATGCTCTTCTTCACGGCCAAGGTCGCTCTGTCGTGGATCGACGACATTTCGAATTCGTGCACACCTAGACTGCCCGCAAAACGGTCTATGCTGAGCCTGGACATACCATCTCTGCGACTCTCTGCAGCTGCGATCCCCACAAAAATGATGGTCGCAGACCTGGGTCTCGAGTCGGGACGTGTGTTGGCGATTGGCACGCGATAGTCATTGGTCAGCGTGCCTCCGTTCCCATGGCGGCGCTACTTGAAACCGGTCGTCGCCCTCCACGCATTCGCCACAGATGCAAACGCGTTTAGCACGGGACAATGATGGCTAATCCCCTTCGTGTCGATCGTGCACATTGGCCTCGAGATCTTCGTGCTTGCATGCGCTCGTGTAAACTTGGTCGCACCTGAGCTCAATGCTATCTGTTCGTACCTTTCGTAGCCGTGTCCTTGATATGTATGCTGACATCATACCCGTAGGCCGTCGAACAAGAATCTACAGCCACGAATGGCTGTTTGTCGCTTCTCGTCCACTGGTTCGGTGCCTCAAAGCGCAGCGGAGACGAGGACGAGATGCACGTCTTCATCCTCTGCGCCGTCCGTTGGCTTTCGCGATGCGATGTTGCGACTGCGCCTCAGGAGATCACCGGCACCATTGTCGACGGTATATCCGGAGTCTCTGATGCGATCGAGCGACGCAACATTCACGGTCCCGGTGACTGCGAGGACGAGAAGTGAGCGCACTGGCTCTGGCTACGACAACCTCTTCCGGTTGAACCACACGCTCTCCGCGATCCTCCTCCTCCGGCGCAAGCAGACGATCTGCAACAATGCCCAGACGGAGGACTAGGACATCTTTCGCTGCGCCCTTCACGGTAGCCATACCCTCGCGCATATGCACCTCGGGCCGGGCAACTGGACGCTTCCGAAGGCTCGAGATCCTGGCCTTCATATTCGGCCATTGAGGCACAGGGCAGCGCGCCAGGCGAGGGCTGTGGCGTGTGCGAGGGGTCGTGACCGGGTGGACTAGAGCTCGACGAAGCCAGGGGCAAGACGGGCGACCGGGACAGTGTAGTTCTTTGGTGTAGAGATGTGGTTGAGAATGTGTATTCGGCTGCTACACAACAGAATCAATATTGAGAGCGGACCTAACGTGTACGACTCACAAACGTACAACGAGCGGTGCGAACGATGGAATTGTATCCGTCGGTTCCTTAGACGTCCAGTTATGACAGCAG